TTCATGAAGAGCCTGAGGTTAACAGTGAAGTTATTTACTGGTTTACAGCTTTATCTTCCTGGGCAAGAGTTTTCTGGAACAAATGATAAAGTCATGTTGGGCCTTGGTTCCCAGTTCTGATCACCAAACTTAAACCATCACCAAAGTCACTAGCAGCGTGGAGGGGCGACTGAGCCCCTAGAAAACATTTGGCAATGTCTGGGGCCATTTTTGTTTATCTTTGCTGGGAGAAGGTGCTTCTGACATTTAATTTACAAAGGTTAGGGGTGCTGTTCAACATCTTACAAAGCACAGGTTAGAGCCCTACCCCTGCAACATAGAATTATCCAGGCTAAAATATCAAAATGTTAAAAAGTAAGAGACTCTGACCTATATGAAAACGAAGATTCACTCTGAGGACATTTGAAGATAGAAGGGAGAAACAGGGACCAGAGGACAAGAAAGCAAAGTTAGGAACCATGAGGGGACCCCCTTGGAAGGGGCCAACTTAAAAAGAAGTCTAGGACTGACCATATGACTGATTATGTCATATTGTTAGTGATGTTTTATGGTTAGTGTTGTAGCAAAGCATTTGCCTACATCATTAAGTATTTTGGGAAAACATGGCTTTTAATGGTTTGATAATATCTTCATATATGCCTGTAGCATCACTTTTTTACTAGGTCCTTATTTTTTGCAGGCAGAGTGTTTCTGATTTTCTTTTTCTTTTTTTTTTTTTTTTTTTTTTTTTTTTTGAGATGGAGTTTCGCTCTTGTTACCCAGGCTGGAGTACAATGGCGCAATCTCGGCTCACCGCAACCTCTGCCTCCTGGGTTCAGGCAATTCTCCTGCCTCAGCCTCCTGAGTAGCTGGGATTACAGGCACGCACCACCATGCCCAGCTAATTTTTTTGTATTTTTAGTAGAGACAGGGTTTCACCATGTTGACCAGGATGGTCTCGATCTCTTGACCTCGTGATCCATCTGCCTCGGCCTCCCAAAGTGCTGTGATTACAGGCTTGAGCCTGATGTCAGCCATGGAGCAATGAACACATGTATTGATACATCTTTGTGAACATTGGATTATTTCCTTAAATTCTTAGACATAAAATTGTTATTTGAAAGGACATATATACTTTCTATCTTTTGATACATGTTGCCAAATCAGCTTTCAAAAAGACTCCCCAATATACATTTCCAACAGGATTGATAGAGGGTTCTCGGGATTTTTTTTTTTAATGTTTATGCCAAGGACCAGTCACTATCATAAAATATTTTTCTACCTGATCCTTCCCACTCTTTCTTCCAAAGAATGTATCAATTCAGAAATTGTACTACTATGTACTACATTGTACTGCTGTGGCAGCCTCAGCCTTCCAGATTCCAATTCTCCCTTTTATGGAATTATTGGGAGTAGTTGGAAGTTGAGAAAGTAATTACCTCCCTAATGATTCCCTAGAAATGTGACCCTTTTAGTTTAATGTCAAGTGATTCCATTTCAAAAGAGGGAAGAATTGATAAGTACCTAAAATACCACCCCACCTTTCAAAATGGAAAAAGTAAGATTCAAAGAGAAGATATTATTGTTAGTCTCACAGAACCAGGGGAAGGTTGAACCTAAAATCCAAATTCTTTGTTCTTTATCCAGTGCTATTTATGCTGCATCCAGCTTCCAAAAATACAGATTAAAAAAATACTTTAACATGTGCTGTTTTTACAGGTAAAGAAAATTGGGCTCAGAAGAGTTAAGCGGCTTACTTCTGATGACAGAGCTGGTAAGTGGCAGAGCTGGATTCCAACAGGTTCTATCCAACTTGACTCATTGGTATTGGTATTTGGCTAGACCTCTGATGATCCAGAAGGTGAATAGTCCATAGTTACTTATTCATAGGAAAGCCTCGGGTGAAAAGATGATGCTCTCCTTCATATTAATAAATATTATAGGTCTGGCATGGTGGCTCATGCCTGTAATACCAGGTCTTTGGAAGGCCGAGATTGGTGGATCACCTGAAGTCAAGAGTTCAAGACCAGCCTGACCAACATAGAGAAACCCCATCTCTACTAAAAATACAAAAAATTAGCTGGGTGTGGTGGTGCATGCCTGTAATCCCAGTTACTTGGGAGACTGAGGCAGGAGAATCGCTTGAACCTGGGAGATGGAGGTTGCAGCAAGCTGAGGTCACACCACTGCACTCAAGCCTGGGCAACAAGAGCGAAACTCTGTCTCAATCAATCAATCAATCAATCAATGTATGTATGTATGTATGTGTTATAATCCAGAGTGAAATCTAAATTAATTAGCAGATTCCCTTTATAATAAAATAATTTATGGTGTACACAATAGTGCTATCATTCTAGCCAACACAGTCTGTAACTATCCTGTACTACAGGGTGGTCAGCAGACATGGGGAGTTACTAAACACTGAAAATGCAGCTGGTTCAAGTTGAGATGTGCTGTAAAAGTATGCCACAAAATAAGCTTTAAGGACTCAGTATGAAAAAATAAATGTAAAATAACTTGTTAATAGTGTTTACATGATTAGATAAAATAAAATTATTAAAATTCATTTTAGCTGCTCCTTTTTACTTCACTTACTGTGGCTACTAGAAATTTTTTAAAATTTCTGTGTAGCTTATATTATGTTTCTACTAGACAGCACTGATCTAAACTACTTGCTAATTCTGTGACCAAGGCATCTCAATCATCACCCAGCAGAAAGAGTCCTAAAGATGGAGGGTATTTTGATATCTCATCATCCAAACTGTTGACAACACCAAGAATCTTAAACTGTTAGGTCTGGAAGGAACCTGAGGCAGAGATGTCTAATTGTTCTGCCACACCCATTCTCCTCTTCTCTCAGAGTGATGGAACCCCAGTTTTTAGGTGGCAACATGTATCAGCTAAGAATATAGACTCTATTACTATTATTTCCTAATCTACCTTGCAGGTTGGGTGAGCCCATGTGACAAACTTCAGGCCAAGGGAATGTGAGCTGAAGTACAATGTGCAGCTTCCAGGTTATATATTTAATCATTAGAGACTTTTCTTGGCTTTTTATGCTTTACTGCTTTCAGAAAAATTATGAAGGATCCTGGACCCTAGAGGATTTCCTAGAGTAGAGATACCTATAGCCTATCTTGAGGCCTCTACACGAGGAATAAGGATGTTTACATCTTACTGAAGTCACAGTTTAATACAACTAATTTAGTCTTAATACAGATGGTGGAGGTCATTTTTGTCTAACATTCCAACATTACAGAATATATCAGAGAGGACTAAAATTATCTAAATTCACACAGCAACTTAGCATGAGCTGGGTCCTCAACCTAAAGCTTCTTATTATTTATCCTTCAGTATCATGCATTGCACTTAGCTAGCTTATCCAATTTATAGAGTCTATAAAAACACATTCCAGAAGATGTGATGCATAAATGAACTATTATCCTTTGGATCTTAGAGATAAGAATTTCAGTTTGCTCATCTATTTGTTGTTTTAAACTGCATCCTTAAAACAATGATTTGTGTAAACTACCCATGATGCAATATTAGCTTACTTAAGCAAGAGACAGACAGCCATAAAATAAACTTATTCATAACATCTTGCTGGAGGCACTAAAATAATGATATGTAATCCTGATGTCACTTGCTTCCTCCCTGCCCTTTAAAATCCAGATAAGCTTGGCTCAAACTATCAACTCCATGCTCCATGGAAGACCAAAGCCTGCAGATTTCTGGGAAAGAAAAGGGAGTAATGGGGGTTTGGGAAAGCTGTATTCTGATGTCTCCAAATCTAGGATTCTGATTCTGCAAATGTTGTTTTTTCCACATGGCTACAATCCAGACAAGAAACCCCACCCTTTTTCCATTTCTACACACCCATACACTCATCTTGCACAAAGAGCTAATAAGTATAATGCCTTTACTTGAAGATTTATGTAGTAGCTAGAAAAAGGATTATTACATCACAACAACTTCAAATTGGACATTAGGCATCCCCCTTGTGAAACCCTCTCTTGGACATTGTCTTAGTTTCAGCAGCCATAGCAAATTACTATAGACTGGATGGCATAAACAGCAAACATTTATTTTCTTACAGTTGTGGAAGCTGGGAAGTCCAAAATCAAGGTACTAGCAAAGCTAGTGTATGATGAGGACACTTCCTGGTTTGCAGACAGCTACCTTCTCATTGTATCTTCACATGCAAAGAGAGACAGAGATCTTACGTTTCCTCCTTATTTTATAAGGGCACTCAGCCCATCATAATGACCTCATCACTATGACCTCATCTAACCTTCTTTAACTCCCAAAGGTCCCCCCACCAAATACCATCACTTTGGGAATTAGTATTTCAACATGTGAATTTGGGGTGGACACAAACGTTCGATCCATAATAACCACCTTATCATAAGGCAATTCCATAAGACACTTTTCTTTTCCCAGGATCACCACTAGGCCATAGAGACACCTTCTTCAAATGCAAACCCAGGAAATATGACTTAGCAAACAGGACACTGGTTTCATTGCAACCCCAGCCCACTGCCTCAGTCAGTCAGTTGAGCAAAGGCAACCTGCACAAACATGCATATTGCTGTAAAGCTCCAGCTCTGTTTACCCTATGGAACCCTCAGCCACAGGCCATTTCTCTAGTCCCTCCTTCCCTCATCACCTTATAAACCTCTGATCTTTCCTATTCCCCATTGATACAGTGATGAGACATATCTCTTAACCCTTCTTACGCTCTCAGGCTGGACAGCTTAGCTATATTCTTTCTTTTGCTTGAACTCCTGACAACCCCTTTGTGGTCTTACCTGCTCCTCGGAGAGGCTTCACATATGATCTTTCCAAATAAGAAGGACTCCTTCTACTATAGGCTGGATGTTTGTGCCCCCTCCCTAAATTTGTATGTTGAACCCAAATCTCCAGTGTGATAGTATTTGGATGTAGGGCTTTTAGAAGGTGATTATTAGGTCATTAGGGTAGAACCCTCATGCATGAGAGTAGCATCCCTATAAAAGAGACTCCAGTTAACTCCCTTGCCCCTTCTACCATGTGAGGATGCAGTGAGAAGACAGTCAACTTGATCCTGGGCTTCTTCAAAACTGTGAGAAATCAGTGTTTGTTGTTTCTGAGCTACCAGTCTATAAAATTCTGTTATAACAGCCCAAGCAGACTTAGACACACTTCATAGATGAATTCTGGTATAAGCTGTCAAGATATTATTCTTAATTCACTAACTTAGAAATCAAAAATATATTGTACCTCCAGGCTCTGTCTTTCAGAGGGAAATACACAAATACGTGTCCCGAAAAGCTAAGACTGGGGCCATTCCTGGAGGATGGCAGAGATCACAAAGTCCAGACAAATGCCATGTTATGTGGTTGTCTCTCTTCAGTGTACACCCAACAAAGAGCTTACCAGCCTCTGTGTGATGGACAGTTATTCTCTCCCAAGGCAATTGCTGTATCTTCTATCACTGGACCTAGTTCCATCATAGGGTGGATACTTTCTATATGTCCATAGCATAGGTCTAAATGTTTTAACATAGAATTCAAGACTCTTTACACTTTGGAGACCATCTAAATCTCCTCGTTTTCATCTTCTGCCCTTTGTAACCTGCTGTTCATGCCTCTCACTTTTGTATACATTGCCCTTTTTGCCCTGCCTAGAATTCTTTGTCATCTTTCTAAGCCTAGAAAAGTTCTGTCATACCATAAAATGCACTGCAACTTCCCCAGGCAGAGTAGTTCATTTGCCCCTTTGCTTTTCTTTCTTTTTTTTTTTTTTTGAGACAGAGTTTCGCTCTTGTTACCCAGGCTAGAGTGCAATGGCGCGATCTCGGCTCACCACAACCTCCGCCTCCTGGGTTCAGGCAATTCTCCTGCCTCAGCCTCCTGAGTAGCTGGGATTACAGGCACGCACCACCATGCCCAGCTAATTTTTTGTATTTTTAGTAGAGACGGGGTTTCACCATGTTGACCAGGATGGTCTCGATCTCTTGACCTCGTGATCCACCCGCCTCAGCCTCCCAAAGTGCTGGGATTATAGGCTTGAGCCACTGCGCCCGGCCTGCCCCTTTGCTTTTCTATAGCTCCTCCACCGAATCTTCATTCTAGCCCAGATTAGACCATATTGGAATGCTTTCTTAAATCCTCTGTTGCAAAGAATTGCATCACTTATTTCTCCAGCTCTAAGAACACAGCCTAAAATACAGTGCCTAAGACACATTGGTTTGGATTATTACACAACTGTATCCCCTGTTCTCCACGATACTCCTCAAGCACACGAAAACAATTACCTTGCCCATATTTAGTCATCTCTTCTCTGGCCATCCCCCTAGGACTCTTCCACTGGTCTGTGTATACCATAGACTCCATCCTTGTCCCCTTTCCCTAGATATGTTCCTATTTCCTAACTCCCTCTGTAGCTGGGATTCAATGTCATGTTCCAGAAAGAGCTCTGCAGGGCCCCAAGAAGTAAATGAAAGAAGTAAATGATTGTGCTTACGTAACTGTTCAGGGTTGCATTCCTCTACTGGAGCAAAGACAGGGTAGCTGAGATCAGGACAGGCTAGACCTCTAGACCTGCCTCAACAGGTGCACCCTATAGGGCCATTGGGTATACCCGCCCTGCACCTGACTTCCTCCAGCGTCCTCACACCTCTCAGCTGTCCTGTGTACCCTACTTTCACAACTGCCAACTTTTTTCAACTGTTTCTCAGATTTTTAAAATTGACTATTTAAGATTATTGCACAAATTAATGCATGATTATTATAGAACTTATAAAATACAGAGCTTAAGAAGAAAATAAATTTCACCTAAAACCTCACCCTTAGAGATACACTATTAACATCTTTATATTCTTCCAGACTTCTACATAGAAAGATATTTACATTTTTTAAATCAAATTCTATCACCCTATACATGCCATTTTGTAAATGGTATTTTTGTGTAAAAATTATGCTGTCACAAACACCTGTCCAAGTCATTAAAAATATATCTTACATAGGAATTCTTAGCATGACTGGTTTCAGGAAAATTGAAGGCCCTTCTGAAATTGTAACCTGACATTTGTGTGTATGTGGATAAGTTTTTCTGGGGACAAGTTATATGGTTCTTGAACCCTCAAAAGGGTCCATGTGGCTGGGTGCAGTAGCTCATGCCTGTAATCCCAAAGCTTGAGAAACACAAGGCAGGAGAATCATTTGAGGACAGAAGTTTGAGACTAGCCTAGGAAATATAGCCAGACCTCACCTCCATGAAAAAAAAATTTTTAATTGGCTGGGCATGGTAGTGCACACCTGTAGTCCTAGCTACTAGGGAGGCTGAGGTGGGAAGATTGCTTGAGCCTAAGAATTCGAGGTTTCAGTGAGCTAAGATTGTACTACTATATTCCAGCATGGGTGACAGAGCAAGACCCTGCTTCTGAAAAAAAAAAAAAAAAGTTGGGGGGAGTGTCTGTAGCCAAAAATTATTAAGAACAAATGACCTACCATCATTTTTATTGACTATATAACATTTTATTTTGTGGCTGTGCCATACTTTATTTTTTAAATTTCTTACTAGACATTTAAGTTGCTTCCACTGCATCAAACTCACAACTAATTCTGCTATGACTATTCCTGGAAATACATGTGCTCAGACCCATTACGATACCTTCAGATCAAGCCTCAGGAGAGTATTTACTTGCCTAATAGACAAAGAGTTTCAAAGTATGTTTCAGGGCTGAAAGCGAAAAAGGAAAAACTTGGCTTTTGGGGATACGTGGGATATTTTGGGATACTTGATTACAGAGTGACACTTAGAAACCTAAACAATAGAAGAGTATTTACTTGCCTAATAGACATTAATCTTTTTAAGTATTCCCAACAGCCAAGGTTTTCCTTTCTCGCTTTCAGCCCTGAAACATACTTGAAACTCTTTGTGTCTCCCTTTCCCACCAGGTACGTTCGTGAACAGTACTCACTTACCTAATCTGTTCTTGCTTAGAAACTCCATAGGCCAATTCTGAAACAAACCAGGCAGAAAGACCCAGCTGTAGAATCCTTCTATTTAGGGGGAGTTACAAACATTTAGCCCACCACTACTGGAATAAAGTCAGGGTGACTCAAACCAGACCTCCAAATGGGCAATTACTGAAGACAGTCACTGGATCAAGATGTGCGAACCTGTGCCGTGGTGCACCCCTCCCACATGATCCCCACACCTTTTCCATCTTAAACCCCTTCACCCAGCCCAACATGGTGGAATGGTCTTTTAAAGTCATGAGCCTGGCCATCCCTCAACTGCTAGCATTTGATTCGTAAAACTGCTTTCCTTTCACCACACCTCACTTCATGTCTTCGGTCTCTGAGCAGCAAGCAACCAGACTTGAGCCAGTCACAACCCCGGACCATTTGGGGCCCTGCCTGGAAGCCCCTCCTAAACTCCACAGCATGTCATCCTCTCAGGTCTGCCTTTACACAGTCACCTTCCACTGAACACTCAAATCAAGAGATTTCATGCTCCTTCTGGCTTCTTTCAGCTGTAGGCAGCCTCACTGAACGGATCTGAGACAGCATTGAACTTTATCTCAAAACACTTGGGTTCAAGCTATGTCCCTGTCAGATATGATTCTGTATGATTTTGGGCAACTCATTCAATTCCTTTAAGTGAATGGGAAGATCACTCTTGCCCTAAGTAGGAGTACCTCATATTATAGGCAAAGAAATTGACTCTGACTATATGATTTAACCAAAAAAAATGACACTCTCTTTACCCGGGGCCTCATGGGGACAGGTGAGGACTTAGAAACAGAAGTAAGTATTCCCTGGAATTTCCTTGTGAATGGTCTTGGCATTTCTCTACTTTCTACCAGACGGATAATAGAAAGCTCTGATTTTCCAAAGAGGCATCTGATGATATGAAATGATTTGAGTGAGTCATACAACCACAAAATATTCAATTCTGGATTTAATGGCTGGGAGATAATTTCAAATTTTCTCAAAAAAGAAAAAAAATGAACAAACATTTTCAAACTGAAACTTTTAGGGAAAAATCTTGTGTGTGTGTGTGTGTGTGTGTGTGCACGTGCGTGTGTGTGTGTGTGTATATATATATGTGTGTGTCTCATCCCTTTCTCTACAATGAGTTATATCTATGAAAGTAGTAAGCAAAACCTATGGAGTGACCTCTGAGCCATATATACTTCAGATGCTCAGAAATTTAAGTCAAAACCCTGAATAGACCAATAACAAGGGCTGAAGTTGAGGCAGCAATTAATAGTCTATGAACCAATAAAATCCCACAAAAATTCACAGCTGAATTCTACCAGACACACAAAGAGGAGCTGGTACCACTCCTTCTGAAACTATTCCAAACAATCCAAAAAGAGGGAATCCTCCCCAGATCATTTTATAAAACCAACATCATCCTGATACCAAAACCCAGCAGGGACTCAACAAAAAAAGGAAACTTCAGGCCAATATCCATGACAAACATAGATGCAAAAATCTTCAATAAAATACTGGCAAACTGATTGCAACAGCACATCAAAAAGCTTATCCACCATGAACAAGTAGGCTTCATTCTAGGGATGCAAGGCTAGTTGAACATATGCAAGTCTATAAACGTAATTCACCACATAAACAGAACCAAAGACAAAAACCACATGATTATCTCAATAGATGCAGAGAAGGCCTTCAACAAAATTCAACAGCCCTTTATGTTAAAAACTCTCAATAAACTAGGTATTGATGGAACGTATCTCAAAGTAATAAAAGCTATTTATGACAAACCAACAGCCAATATCATACTGAATGGGCAAAAACTGGAAGCATTCCCTTTGAAATCTGGCACTAGACAAGGATGCCCTCTCTCACCACTCCTATTCAATATAGTATTGGAAGTTCTAGCCTGAGCAATGAGGCAAGAAAAAGAAATAAAGGGTATTCAATTACAAAAGGAGGAAGTCAAATTGTCTCTATTTGCAGATGACTTGATTGTATATTTAGAAGACCCCATCATCTCAGCCCAAAATCTCTGTAAACTGATAAGCAACTTCAGCAAAGTCTCAGGATACAAAATCAATGTGCAAAAATCACAAGAATTCCTATACACCAATAA